AGAGAGAGAGAGAGAGAGAGAGAGAGAGAGAGAGAGAGAGAGAGAGAGAGAGAGAGAGAGAGTACCGGGATGTAGAAAGGAAGGAGTATGAATGCTTCGCTAAAGTCGAAGTCAAAGTTTGGAGGAGTGGAGAAGTTGTGGATTAACTGCCGAAAACTATGTGTGTTGCCCGATTGATCTACAAATGAAATAGTAGGTTGCTGGATGGTGCGGGAGAGGCTGATATGAAACTGACAAGGTCTGCAGCAGACTGTCCTTGGCCAGTCAGATGAGGACTGCAAGCAATGGGTACGCCCAATGAAGCGCGTGAGGCCAAACACTTCTGGATTACACAAGCCGGAGGCAGACAAACAGGAACCCTCATGAAAACCGTTCGACCCTCTGCCACATTCTTATGCACAGCAGTGAACTGGACGCTTGTTCATGCACCACAAATCTCAATTCTCTCGTCTAGACGCAAGCAAGTGCACTCCCTGAAGAAGTGGGCTGTTGTTCGTCTTCTTCGCTGTGCTTTTGGTGCTATGAACTTCTATCTGATCTCTGCAATCTCCGTTCTGTCTCTCTCGTCTTTCTCTGCGATGACTGGTGCGCATACTTGAGCTTGCAGTTGTCTTCGACTTCCCGACCAGGCTCCGACCAAGCCCATATCATTGTCTGAAACTTGCGCTTAACGAGCTTGCACTATTCAATGGAGATGCCACCTGCATTGCAAGAACAGGTGATGGATGGATTGTCAGACCACCTCTTCTTCTTCTTCTTTTTCTCCTCTTCTCTCTTCTTTTTTTTTAGGAAAGAATCTGGTTCCTCGAGGTCCTGGCTCATGTCCATTATGGGGAGAATCTCTTCTTCTTCTTCTTTCCTGGGGATAGCCCCTTACATTGTTGAATGCAACAGGACTGGAACTCTTGATCTGTTTGTCGACTTTTACTTGTGTGTCTCACTCAGCCATCAGGCATATACTCGTAACTCCTTTCTTCCTCTCCTTTGTGGGAAAAGTTATAGATCCCCCTCGTGACAAAAGGTGTGTACTGGTTTGGTCCCTGGATGGTGGCAGAAGATCCGACAGACCCCCGGAAGCTGGTGGCCAAAGCTACGGATTCCCTCCAGCACCTCAACCCTAAACTTGCTGATGCTGGAGCGTGAGGCCTGGTAGAGAGATCTGGGGATGCTTTGGGGTGGGCATCCCAAGGGACGACCAAGGGTTGCTGCTGGGATGATGCTGGTCGGAGCTGGGGCGAGTTGTGTTGCCCTGTAACCCAGCAGGGTGGGGGCGTGAGGCCTGGAAGAACTCAGCAGGGAGTAAGACGGTGTTTGGAAGTCTTAGAAGGAATTGTCAGGGAACCTGAGAGTAGTGAGCATTCGTAGGACCTCTGTTTCACAGTTTGTTCTCAACGGAAGCCAGGTAATGGCCCCGGTATCTCAAATGATCTCATAAGACCTCAAATGTTCTCAATGATCTGTATAATTCGTTATGGCACGCTGGGCCCAGTTCCCAGCGCGTGCTGCTCCCCACGAATAGACTGGAGCATTTGTTCGGAAAAAAAAAAAAAGCACCTCAACCCTAAAGCGGGTGATGGCATCACCAGGCTGTTCGGGGCCTTTTGGGACCTCCAACACTTTGGGGGGGGAGACAAACGAGTACAATCCTTTTGTGGGGGGTGAAAGGGGGGGGGGGGGGGGGGAGAGGGGAGGGGGATTTATGACTTTTCTCCTCCCTCTCGTTGTTCTCCTACAAACCGTATGGGTATGTCTACATTTCATTCTGTGGCAGGTCACCTGCACAGGGTATTGTGAGGTACTCTACTACCATGTGATGCCCTCCCTTTTCGGCATACCGGACCTTGCCAAACAACAAAGGTACAAAAGGCATAACACCTCTGCGATTTCCGAAACACGCTTTTGCAGAACTTGCTATGCATGGGACTTCCTTTCTCCATGTTCTTCTTCATCATCGCATCCCCTCTCTGGTCCTGCTACATTTTATTTTTTTTGAGCTGCATCTTGTTCATCATCTCGTCCCCCCTGTCATGCTGCTCCTGCTACATTTTTTATTAATATCTAGGCTGTTTGTCTGGGACCTCGCGCACCCAACTTGTGCCTGGATACACGCCCAGGTTTCCAGCCAGGAATGAACCCCGGGCAGCGCCAGCGGCCCCCCCCCCAAAAAAAAATAAAAAATCCAGAAAAAAACAAGATGATGTGTAGAATTGCAATACAGACCGCTTTTTTTTTTTTTTTTTTTTTTTTTTTTTTTTTTTTTTTTTTTAAAGCTATATTCTTCTCTCAATTTAAGCGCTTTTGGCTGAGTGTCACATCATAATTTTCATCATGGAATTGAAGATAAAAAAGAAAACAATAGAATCAGAGTCATTATCAGACTTACCGTCACTTACGGTCTAATGGGAATTGCTGTGGTGTGGTTACACACATTCCTAAAGAAAAGCTTTCAGGAACTGTCCTTAAGGGTCTCCTGCGGCCTGTTTTCATATACGTATACGGAGCCCTGCCGACGATGTCCGCCCATTGCAGCCTTGTGTCCGTGGTACACAGGGCGGCGGGCCTTGCTCGGTTCATGACGGGGAGGTAAAATGCGCGCGGACTCCGGCATGCCGACCGATTCGACTGCAGGTCCTTCATATGGCGCCATATGCAGAACAGGTTCATAGGCGGAAGCCACTGCTTTGAATTCCGACCGTTGGACACCCTCCACCGCCCGCAGATCGTCGATGCCAGGATGGCGCAACGCCTCGCCCTCCTCCGAGTTTCGCTTCACAGGCGACGGCCGACTACGGAGGACAGGGCACCCCCGCTTGCCATCCCCGGTCCGCTTCACCTGCCGACGGCTACCGATGGTGGCCGTTGCCTTCATCCCGCCACTGGGGGCCTCCAATGTGGGACCCCTGACCCGACGGACAACTTCTGCACCATGGCGTCGGAGACAACGGTGCCCTGTGCGTGCCGCCAAGCCTCAGTGAAACGTGGCTTCCTAAAAAATTTAGATGCTTGGGAGGAGCTTTATTTTTTAGGACCTTTTGCCTGGGGATTCCTATAGTTTTTAGGACTAGTCCAAACGCCGTTTTCACATTTTCTTTCACGAATTCGGTTTTAGGAATGTGCGTAACCACACTGCATTCCTAAAAATCGGCATTTTTAGGAGTGTCTAACGAGACCCTAAGGCAGCCCCCTTGATAGCCAACACTGAAAACAAAAGGATCCCGGATTTATACCCCCCTCCTCCCCCCCCTTTGACAGCCAACACTCTAAGAACAAAAGGATCCCGGATTTATAACCCCCTCCTCCCCCCACCCCTTGACAGCCAACACTCTAAAAACAAAAGGATCTCGGATTTGGACTCCTCTAGCCAATCTCAGAAAACCTCCGCCCAAACCACAAAAAAAAAAGAACAAAAAAGAAGAAGAAAAAAGGGCTGATTTTAGCCTGCATTGGGTTGCCACGCGCAGGCTATTTGCCCGGATTGGATGGCCAGGTGAGGCAAGGAGTCCACAGATTGTTATGAACTTATTATTATATTCTTGGGGTAACTTCAGTAGAGTCTCAAAAACGAGTTATAATTGCATCATGGGGAAAGATACAGTTTACAAAGCACTTCGGGCACCCTACCTGGATAGAAAGCTGGGTTGTACTATACAGCGGACCTACCAACATAGCTTTCTACCTCTCTTCGGTGAAGGGAGGTTGCCTCTCTTGGTGGAGGGAGGTAATTGCATGTTCGCCTCTTGCGCTAGTGGTTTAGGGTGCGGGGTTGGGGCCGTTGGTGTGGGCCTGGCTAACACAAGGACTGAGCATTTGCCAGTAACTGCACCTCCCGTTTCATCTTCCCCCACCCCCATCGAGTAACAGCCGTGTCTACAGCCAACACTCTCCCACACACCACACTCAACCCACTCACACTCGCACTGACACCCGTGTTGGATGAAGACCCTACTAATACCGACCGAGAGGATCCAGCTGACTATCCAAGTTGGTTGGCACCGAACGTACTGCAGGTGGGCGTGGGGATTGAAACCAGAACCTCATGCACGTGCTCACGTACGAGCTCGCGCACCAGCTCACGCACGTGCTCGCCATGGCGGGGCTCTGATGAAAAAAAGGCTAATGCTTTAAGCCCAACCAGTTCAATTACCTGTCAAATCTGGACAGGACGGCCTTTCAGGCCTTTTTTATTGTCATTATAGTGGTTACCCCGTAGTAGCCACATCCGTGCTCAAGCCTCCAACGAGGGAACATGCGGGAGCTGCACCCACCAGTAGTAGCCACATCCGTGCTCAAGCCTCCAACGAGGGAACATGCGGGAGCTGCACC